TCTAATTTCCATATAAACTAGCGATCAGCTCCAGCCGCCGAGAGGTAACATGAACTAAATCACGGCTCACGGCTAAAACTTCTAACAAAATTCAAACTAAAATGTCTAATAGCTGAGACTTTGCAACTGACGGCCCCCGAATACATATTAGCTAGAAACGGTCGGGCCATTTGACAAAATGAAGTTTGAATTCACTAATGCCTATCAAATTGAATATAAAAAATCAATTTGCTCTTCAACCATTTAATTCATACGAATTCGTATCTAATTCCTTTTTTATTATAAGTCCATTTATCAAGACAAGTTTCCCGTATTAAGGTTAGCAGCCATTTTTCATTGGGATCCTCTGATTGGACAGGCATGTCAGGTGACGTCATAATGGCGTCAAAAAGTCGTTAATTTGTAAAATGAAACTGTCGCGACGCCATATTTGAACTTTTTGGTATTTTCGATCAATGTGTCTTGAGGTGTATGAAGTGGGCTGGCATTTTGACTTGATATTGAAATATTAGCATAGAATGTCTCAGCAAAATGTGGTTTATGCGTGTGCGTGTGATTTATAGCCATTTCAAGCTGTATTGCCAATGATTTTGTCAACGTATCGGTTATAAAGAGCTATGTTGTAAAGATTTTTGTGGGTTTGTGGCTGACATAACTTTGCTAATACGAGTATTACTATTCCACTATCCACTATATCACTTTCTACCCAGTTTGTTTTCAGTCACTCTTATAACAAATTGACCAACTCAGCAAAAATTCCAATAACTACAAAAATGTTTTCACCAAGAACACTGAGTAAATAATACAGCAAATTAAGCAAGTATTTCACCCATTATTTCCTATGTTCCATTAATATTATAATGTAGGACGACAATCATCTGCCCTCATCTGTCCCATGTCTGCAGTATGTCCCAAATTTCCGGGACGACGTCGCGACCCTGACATACCCATAATAGGGTCACTAATACCCTTTCTACATCGCCATTTTTAATTTACCTCTTCTTATTTCATATCTCCCTGGTATTATTGGTTTGGTTCTTCATATTTTTATTTATTAACCTACGATTACACGTGCTTACTACTTTTTTGGTTTCAGTAAGTATCGTTATTAATAAGACATGCCTAATTAATTATTCTCTGGAAACTTCGTTAACATTTTACGTTACTTGATCTTAAATTACCTATTTTTTATAAGCAAATATTTTGGGGAGAAACCACCACCATAATATATGAAAGTCAAGACCGGAACTAAATCTACCTCTAGAGACCGCTAATACTGCTTCATCAATTGTACGAGTTCAATTCGTACAACAGGCAACATATTAAATAAATTATTATGTTTTCGGCTTACTCACGTAGTAATTCGACGAGGAACTCGAATAGTTTCAAGCCATGCTAGAGGCTCATATTCATGAGCAGCATTTCGCGACCCGCGACGGTCGCGCTGCTACTGGCTACTCGAGGCTGCGGGCTCAGCGCGCCCTCTGCCGTGATTCACGCGCACTTTCTTCCATTCATGGTATCGACGACGGCGGCGCGCGTGGCACTGTTGGCACGCTAGACTCGCCCGCCGGCAGCTGCGTTGGTGTTGTTGGGTTCGAATTTAGTATGTCTCACGAATGTTACAATACAAATGGCAACTTATTAGTTTAATATTTCTCAGTCCATTTTTATTCTACATGGATTAGAACTCTGTCTACTCCTGAAAGAATAATAAATATGGTGATATGACAGACTGTTATTATAAAATAGAAAGTATGAGAACGATGAGCCTTGTGAGTATAAAGCTCTTAAGGACATAATATTTCCTGCTCCCTTTGAGTTTTGTAAGACCGGATTACAGAACCTTGGCTCTGACATCTTATACATAAAATTAATTACAACTGCAGGCATACAGTCTTGAGGTTATATTTTGTAGAGATAATATTATATTGTCTATTTATATTTTTTTACCGACTTCAAAAAATAAGAGGCTCTCAGTTAGACCTGAATGTATATTTGAACTGCCTCGTTGGCCGAGTGGTCGCAAGTGCGACTGGCGGGAGTGGCGGGCAAGGGGTCTCGGGTTCGATTACCGGGTCGGACAAAGTACTACTGGGTTTTTTAACAACATCTCAGTAGCAGCACGGAGTCTGGAATTTTGCCCGGTATATGGCAATAGACTCACCCCCTATTACATGGGACTCATACCATAAATAGTGAAAAGTGCGTGTTACATTGTAAAATGGCATTATATGCTGTAATTTTTATTTATTTATTATTTTATGTACATAATTTGATTATGGTACCTAAGGTAACTTATGCCATATGGCATTCTCTACCTGTCATGTAACGTGCACCTCTGCCTATCCCTTCGGGGATAAAAGGCGTGATGTTACGTTTGTGCGGTGCGCGATCATCTCGCGATCGGCTGATCCGATTATAATGCGTTTTCAGAAAAGTGCTTATTACACTTAGGATAATGTTTCAGTATATTAATTAACGGACTTCAAAGTACCTGTAATAACCGTTGAAGTAATAAAATAATTATAGAATGATGTCGTTGTTTTCCTTACAATAGAGAGTTTAAAATATATAAAATTTCTATATCCCCGAATCCTCCACAGTCCTCAAATTCCCAATTCCCAAAAGGCCGGTAACGCACTTATAACGCCTTGGTGTTTCGAGTGTCCATGGGCGGCACCGATTGCTTACCATCAGGTGATCCATCTGCTTGTTTACCGGCTTATGCTATAAAAAAAAATATTTACAGTAGACTGTTGTGCAAAATATAAAGTCTACATTCAATGCCTTTGTTGATGTCGAGATACATTTTTTTACAATTTTCCCAACATTACAAAGGTTTTTTTTATGTCTATAAAAAATATACGAGTTTCAACCCTAAACAAGCTAAACGCTAACCCTAATCAAAACAATACTTTGAATAAACCCTAAAAGCTAATCGTTCAATAAAATTCTCCATAAAATAATTGCAGAATAAAGCTGGCAGATTTTAAAAAGATTTTATTCGCCGTCCGCACTTTACCATCGACAGTAAAGGACTAAACAACCCTTTAGTGCCGCCATAAACCAGTACGTTTTCTTTATCCAAGTGGGACTTAAATCAAGATGCTGTCCGCAACACGCATTGCGCGCGAACGGGATTTTATTAAACCTGCAGTTGAGAACAGATGTAATGCAATTGCAGCCAGCTGCGGTGGGGTTAAGAATTTAAACTTTAATTATTTTTACTCGAGTTCTTGATTCAAAATTGTGGTTGTGTTTTGTTTATGTTTGTAAGGAAACTCTTTGTTCTGGTTGTAACTAGTTTCCTGCCTGCAGTTTCATTTTACAATATCGTATTGAAGTGATGTTGCCTTTTGACGTTGGTTCTATTGAGTTTTTGTCCTAGATTATCATCATAGATCGGACCCGCGGAAGACTTAACGGGTTGCCGGGGCTCCGTCTCGAAGTGCAGGAGTAGGAAAGGGGTGGTTTTTAGTCAGTAAGAGTCTGACACTCCCTCTCCCTCACCCGGGCGGGAGAAGTCATTGGATGAATTTCCCACCTCAAAAAAAAAAATCATCATAGATATAATTTCTGTCGTGATGAACATACAGGTCGTTTCGGTCAGTCCAGCTGGCTGATCTAAAAAACATTGAGAGTGGCCTATGTTCTTCTAGCTGACATAAGAAGGACGAACGATACACTACATCATGTATTCAGCCTTTTTTAATGCCGAAACCAACACTCATGTATTACATTTTCCACAAAAGCCAAATCACGTTTGAGGATTGTAAATCTAAAATCGATTACGAATAAGGTAACAAACTTCCAATCACCAAGCTATTGTTTTTTCAATCCGAACCCATACAAAACACTACGAAAACGAGCAACAGCAAAAAAGATGAACAAATGGGTCGTTATGTACGAGCCAAACAGCCAGCACTTCAAAATACACCAAACCCACCGACGCTGTTAATGAATTATCAACTCAATCTCAAAATGATTAAAGTTGACAATAATTATGTAACAATGTATGTATGTATTATAATTATGTCTATCTTCTTCTATATAGACTGCTTCGTTTTCCGAGTGGTTGCAAGTGCGACTGCCGGGTCTCGGGTTCGATTCCCGGGTCGGGTAAAGTATGACTGGGTTTTTATAAAATTCTCAGTGGTAGCACGGAGTCTGGGATTGTGCCCGGTATATGGCAAAAGGCTCACCCCCTATTACAAGGGACTCATAACAGAAAATAGAGAAAAGTGGGTGTTACATGGTACAGTGGCATTAAGTGCCGTAGTGTGCACCTCTGCTTACCACTTCGGGGATAAAAGGCGTGATGTTATGTTATGTTCTTCTATATAAATAAAATGAATTTTCGTTCGTTAGTCTCGCTAAAGCTCGAGGACGACCAAACCGATTTCGCTAATTTTAGTCTTGAAATGTTCGTGGCAGGCCAGAGGAGAAAATATTTTTAGTGAGTACAAAATTTGAGGCAGCTAGTTGTAAATAAATATTCAATATTATGTAACTAATTGGGATACCTTCTGCTTTCGTCTATAGGTACATTGTTTTCTATGCTGCAGTGAAACATGGCTAGTGAATATTGCAGTAGTGTCCCAGCTCCCGACAAATTGCGAACAGGACTAGAAAGAATGCTTAACTTACTTGTCCGTTCTTTTAAAAGAAATGCGTCGTACTCTCGCTATTAGATACAAGTTAAACTAAGTTAGAATAAGTTAGATGAAAAGAAGAATGTAGTTTTCCATTTATTCTGTTTAATTTATTTCATGTTCTATTATGTTGAACATTTTTATTAGATAATTTAGGAACACGTTTTTCAAATGCAATTAGGTAGGCACTTGATCGATCGTCAACAAGTGATTATTGGGTTTTACATAATAGTTCGTCAATGTCTTTACTGTTATAGTAATCAACAGGTCGTATAAAACTATCTTCTTTGGTTAATATTGTACCTATTATAATTGCTATTTTGTTTTTGTTAATAATAAAACGGGTATTTATAAACGTATGTTATATTTACAAAATCAGTCTTCATATAGGAAATCATTTCGGAGTATTATTCAACTTTACCTACATTTTACGTAATCTGGTTTAATCTCTAAATCGAATTATAGGTGAAATCGTTGTAGTTGTCGGCACCGTCGCCAGTGGAACCGGCTTCGTGGGCGGTATCGGTGTCGTTGGCGGTATTTCCGTTGATGATTTCGGTGTTACCGGTGACATCGGCGTCGTCAACCCATCTTTGAGGTCATTAAAAGAAATAGTGGCGTTCACCTCTGGCCACACAACACTTTCTATCCAGTCTGCGAATTTTGCTACCTTAGTGTACACTCCTGGTAAACCTGGCAGCGCACACCCTACACCAAATGATGTCACACCTACCACGTAGTGCATAGTTCCCTGATTTAAAATTGGAAGTGGAATCTTTACTTGGAGTGGACCACCGGAGTCACCCTGGAAATTAAAATGAATAATCGTTGTTGTTTTTAAACTGCTTTATCAAGTTTTATAAAGGGTAGTTGATGACAATGGAAATAAATCAACTCATCTATTTGAAAAAGAAAAACGTATATTTAATTACCTGACAAGCATCAACACCTCCTCCCATTTTGCCGGCGCACAGCTGATCAGGCTGAAGGCCACACCAGTTTCTATTGCAAGACCTTTTCAGCAGCTTGTTACATTGATGGAAGTCAATTATGTCCACGGTTGCTGCTTGGAGCTCCGGTGACGTCCTCAGAGTACCTGTAAAGAAAACCAAACCTCTTACCAAGGCTGCATGATCTATGAAGAGAACTCAGTGTATTGTTATAACAAAGCATGCTCATAATACCGTTCTTTTGATGAAAATTTGCTTCAATAGCTGCATCAGTATTTATTTGACTGCTGGTATCAGATGATAAAGTTTTCAGACACTTACCTGACTCTATAACACCCCATCCAGTAACTTGGGCTTGATCACCATACCTGGTGATACTATCCTTGGTCCATAAGCAAGCTGGTTGTATGTTCATGTTAAACTCTATCACTTCTCCAAGTTTCATAACGGCGATATCGAAATACTGTTTTGGTGCCGTATACTTGGGATGGTTGATAATTTCGATGATAGTTGCGTCATATCTGTCGTCAACCTAGAAACATTTTACATAACAATTGTTAATAATCTAATGTATCGTCACATGAAATTTCTGAACACCAATACTTACAGTATCCTGTATATTCTTATCTCCTAGTCTCACTATTTTCGGTATTACATCTTCGATGGTGGTATCTCTTGACGATGCTTTAGAGCAATGGGCAGCAGTAAGCACAAATCTTGAACTAATAAGTGTACATCCACACATGAACTTCCATGTTCCTATGACCTCTTTCCATCCGATGGCACCCTGGTAATTAGAAATAATAAATTGACTTAAAAAGAAAGAAATTGGGTATTTTCATGGGTCAAAAATAAATTATTTTGATTCTTCAATCTAATTAAATATTCAAAAATAATTATTACAACTTTATTCATATAGTTGACGATATGCTTAATTTTCGATTTATTCTAGCAATTTTTACAGAAATAAGTGTGCTATTTGACTCGAAAATATGATGACGTCATAAGTTAGTTTTTGTTACAAAATTCATAGAACAATATCGTTTTTGACGTTTCGATAAAAGTATTGAATTTGATTAGTTGTAAAATACCGTATTAAGTAAAATAATGTTTAAATTACCATCAAACTTGAGTGGTTCTTCACTTACCATATTAGGGTAGTCTCCTGTAAATGTATAGTGACCTCCAACAACATAATAGGACATACCCCTGGACCTCATTTCATAACCTAACCAAATACAACAGAATTAGACAAATGAAATATTTTTTTTATTTCAAGTATAGAAAGACATACTTAATATTTTAACATCATACTCACATTCGTTTTCTTGTCCTGCCTTATCGCTTCGCATTTTCAATTGCCAAATATATTCGAAACATTCTGAAAAGTTAAAGAATGAGATCAACTTTCAGTCTAAACCAGAAAACTAATATTTGAGATACAAAATTCTTAGCTTACTTACTCATTTCACTGACTCTTCTACCAGGCGCCCTGAAGTCTGGCTTAGGTGGCGGAACATAAGGTGCACAGGGATCATAAGGGTGTACGCGATGTGCTGGAGCACTTAGGAAAGAATACTGATTAGGTATTGGTGCAATATGACGGGCTGGTGTGACAGGAGGGCTTGGCGTTGTAGTGTGTGATATAGGGAATTTTTGAGAATTCGGAGGTGTAGTAGGCGTAGCTATTAGGCGAGGTGGAGAAGAAGTTGTCGCAGAGGAAACTGAAGACCTATCTGATAGAGATGATAGTATTGGTGAGGTAGTTACAGTTGATGGTGATCCAGTAAGCTTACTGGATTGGAGTTGAGGTTTATCAAGTTTTAATGCACTAAGAAGTGGAGGTATAGGCTGCTGGTTTGCATTTTGACTAGCTTCATTGACGGCTACATTTTCACCAGTAGGTAACTAAAATTCAGACATAATATTTGAATATCAATTAGCTGTACGTATTATAATGGAATCATGTTAATGTTTTCAACACATACCTTAGAACTCTTCAATGTGGAGGTAGTTTGTCCAAACGAAGATACTGCAAATCAGTTTCACAACACCGAGTTTAAAATAAATAAGTCACTATGAAAAAATGTAATATACAAAAGAAGATATTAATAAAATAAACTTACCTATGAAGGAAAATACTAAAATAACAAAAAGACGTTTCATTGTAAATAACAAAAAAATATTATTTATTTAATAAAATTAAATACACGTCCATTACTGACTTTGTCAACAAAATAATTGATAATGATACTAAAGACCCATTCAATCGATGTAGCAGTACAATACATTTTAATACCTGAATCAATTAATGCTTTCTTAATGATTTTTTCGATAAAGTTACATAAGTAATGATCAATATCATTAATAGTGATAAACTAGATAATAAATTAAAGTGACTGTGTACAACGTTAAAGATCTGAAAAGAAACAAAAATATCTATATGAACTAACTAACTAAAATTACTACAACCAGGCAGCTATAAATATCAGGAGGTTCAATTCCTTCAACAAAATTATTTCTCTCCCGGCCACACTATGTTCTCAATCCAATCGGCAAAGCTTGCTACTCTACTATAAACTCCTGGTAGCCCTGGTAATCCACAGCCAATGCCAAATGACGTGATACCGACCACGTAGTTCATATTGCCTTGAGTCTTTATTGGGAGTGGAATATTAACTTGGAGTGGTCCTCCTGAATCACCCTGGAGGAAACAAAAAAAACTTTAGAATGTTGATCTCTGGGTTCTAAACCATACTAGGCTCGGCTTGCTGTTATCATAAATGGAAGCGATTGACTTGTCTTTTGACCACAGCTTTAACATGGTACATCATTTTCATTAGCTCGTTGCGGTTTATAGAAACCAGTTCAAAATTCAGTGCCGACGTAAATCGTATTGAATAACTTCACAAGTATCTAGTTGATATACAATATTCTTACAAACCTGACAAGCATCCTTCCCACCATTCAATTTGCCGGCACAAAACTGATGTTCTTTTAGGCCACACCAGTTTCTATTGCACGATCTTTTGAGAAGACCATCGCAAGTATTCGAGTCTATGAAGTCCACTTCTGCAGCAAGGAGGTCTGGAGACGTTTTTAGGCTTCCTGTAGATCAAAACAAAACTATCAAATTCAAGTTAAGACGTCTACTGAAGAACCTAGGGCATCCTAGATTGACCAAGTTATTTTAGCGCCAATCTTGGAGTCGTTGATCCCTAAACGCATCATATCTATCCCATCGGAGTAACATAATAAAATGTTAGATGATTTTTATTTTACCCTTATTGTCTGTATTGTATAATCACTTTAGTGCTATCAAACAGTGTGTAAGTTACACATTTTCTAATTTACCGCTTTAAATTGTCTTCCTACCTGATTCAACGACTCCCCAACCAGTAATCAGAGCTGTTTTAAACGTGCTAGTATCATGTTTAGTCCACAGGCAGGCAGGTTGGATGTCCTGTGAGAAGTAAACTTTCAGGTCCACTTCCATCAGAGCAATATCGAAATACTGCTTCGGTGATTTGTATTGTGGGTGCACAATTACTTTTACAATGTCCACATCGTAAGCTGCAACGCCGTTCAAGTCCTGTGGAGATGTAAAATAAGATTAAATTAATCGCTTGAAAAAATAAATTAATGGATTAACGCGTAACGATAACTTGAAGTTGTGAATAAATATATTTTATTATAAAGTATATATAGAGGTATATTTGACGTTGGTGTCTCGTGAGACTATTTCTGTAAAAAATATTATAATATTTGGTAATAATTACAAAATAACAAGTAATCACAAAGGGGCATAATTCACTTACTGTTTAAAAATATTTATTTCTTTTTCTAAGCTACTTAAACTATCAACGTTCAAAATACTTTGCCTAAATTGTATTCAAATGCGAACTTAAAATCATTCTTGAAAGGACAATCCTCACAATCATTATTAAAACCCAGCTTGGTTTCTCGAAAACTCAACTTTTTATGAATCTATTTTATTCCCTCCCAGACACTCTGTGATAAATTTTATTCGTACAATCGTACTATAAAACTGAAGTATTCAGATAAGCTCTTACAAATTACAATCCATCAAATAATGGATCCCTATCTGAATTGAGTAATCTTAACTGGATATTTTGACGTATTAGCCAAGTAAGATTGTTATTTTAATCCCATTTATAACCGCAACTTATTACCGCAGGGGTAAAAGTACAAATAGTATGACTAAGGGAATATTTACCACCAGGATAACACATGTCTTTCAGTGGATGAGTGACCATTTTAACGTGGTTTATCATAGCACTCCTCAAGTTCAATTAACGACTATTATCTATGATGCTAGTCCACTCAAATCATGTACTATCCATGCAACTATGTTTAATGCCACACAATTGAGAAAAAGCGATGACAAAAAGAAATCTCTAATAAAATCATAAGACTTCGTAATTTCTTACATGATCCGCAATTGTCATTGAACCCAGTCGAACGATTTTAGGCACAGTATCAGCAAGAGTAGTATCCGACGCTGATGCTCTTGAGCAATGAGCAGCCGTCAGCACAAAGTTCTGGCTAATCAATGTACCACCGCACATGAACCTCCATGTTCCGACAAATAGCTTCCAACCTATGGCTCCCTGGTACATAAAAGTGTAAATTAAAATAATTAGTAGAAAATATTTTTCATATAATTTGATAATAATAATTAAGTAACAATCCTTATTCCTTACCATATTTGGAAATTCTCCACGTTTTGCTTTGCGCCCTCCTATAATACCAGGAACTGGATGTATTTCACTACCTTTGGACAAGAAAAACTATAATCCTTAATAACATAACAGGACAATGCTCTGCACTTTACCTGTAAATTTTACTTATACAAAGTTAGCTTACATTTCTTAATCCTTTTTTCTCTTATATCCCGTATTTTCACTTGCCAGATGTACTCGTAACATTCTGAAATATAAAGAAATAACCATTACAAATGAGTAATTGAATACACTCTGTGTTTCATGACAACTACAACAATATTAATTTTTCTTAAGAAACGCCCAAAAACATTTCGATACTAGGTAGTCGTAATAATAATTCGATGACACCAGGACCGCATAAGCAATAAGATATAAACGTAAAGGTTAATCAACTTGATAGTCATTGGACAAATAACGATCTAGTACGGATATAAGGCCAAGTACGTACTATAAAAAACTGGTTGTCACCTGACCTGTTCTATAAGAATCTATGCAGAAAGGTTTTTTTTATTCTAAAGAGCAAAATAATAATAATACACAGACATGTTATTCTGCGAAAGTTGGAATATTTTAATGTTCAAAAAAACAAATAAGACCCTAAATTAAATAAAGCAAGAAAATTAGTCACAAACGACAATATCAAAGCAAAATTAAAATGTTTATAATTATGATGCGGACTGCCTCGTTGAACAAGTGGTCGCAAATGCGACTGCCGGGCCCTTGCCCGGGACCAATTGGTCTCGGGTTCGATTCCCGGGTCGGTCAAAGTATTACTGCGTTTTAAAAAAAATCTCAGTAGTAACACGGAGACTGTAATTGTGCCCGGTATATGGCAATAGGCTCACCCCCTATTACATGGGGCTCATAACATAAATATTGAAAAGTGGGTGTTACATTGTACAGTGGCATAATGTGCGCCTCTGCATACCACTTCGAGGATAAAAGGCGTGATGTTATGTTTTTTATATTTTGTTATGTTTATATGATTAAAAAAGAAAGAGGACAATGACAAAACAGCGTATATTGTGTAAATTGTTTGAAATAAAAAGAAAAAGTAAAGCAGACGACCATGATTATACAAATGACTGCACCATATTGATTAGAGGTTTTTTATGGTATAAGCCGGTAAACGAGCAGAATAGCTTCAACTTGTGTAAGAAAATAGAATATTATAAATCACACCGGACGCTCAAATCTCCCAAAAGGCCGGCAACGCACTTATAACTCGTTTGGCGGCCAATATCTTCGGGTGGCGCTGATCCCCTACATTAGAAAAACAGAATATATTGCGACTACTTACTCACGTCGCTAATCCTTCTACCAGGACCCCTGAAGTCAGGTACAGGTGGATTATACGGCGCACACGGATCATCAGTGACATTGTAGGGCTGACTCAAACTGCCCGCTAGTGCTGTTGGAAGAGCCCCCAGACGTAAGGTTTCTTCGAGGTCCTTTGATGGCTGAAATCAATTAATAAGACAAGCCTTAAGAATACTGGTTATAAAGTAAAAGTATACGGTACTTTCAGGTTAACTACTAAAAATGGGAAAATAACAAATAAATTTTTAGGGGAAATTTGGATAAAGTCACCTTTTGAAGTAACAGAATAATAAATGTAAATATCATATTTCCTCATATAATTGCATAAATATTCACCAGTACCTACATAAATAATAGATATAAAATTATCTTTAATTGTCATATCCTTAACATTGAACAATTTTGATTACCAGGGCCTCATAACCTTGGTGGAATCACGATGTACGGCATAATAGGAAAATAATAAATGAATTGAAGTCAGAATGCATTTCCAAACACGGAATTCTTGCAATATTACTGTCTTATTATAATCTAGTTTGTATTGAGAAAAAAAACAACATACAGACGAATTAATAACCTCCTACCTACCCATTTATTAGGAAGTCAATTAATAAGAACACACATTCATATAAAAATGTGTTACACACAAGCTTATTCGTTAATTATCATTTTACTAATGATTCTGATTATATTTACCTCAGAACCATCCGAAGCATTTTGTTGTCCAGTCGTCACATGTAATATGAACACTGCAATAGATCATTTTATTCATTAATTATCAGTATCACTAATAACTATTTGTTTCTTAAATTATGTTACTATTGCCATCACTTCACAATTGTCTATCTTACCAAGAAAACATAATATTTTAGGAGTTTTAAAGACACTCATGATACTAGAGGTAATGTTCAACAAATGATATAGATGTGTTACTCACTAAACTATTCACACTTGACTGAGAAACTACCTCTATAATAATGTAGAACCTGTCTATAAAAGGAAACAATTTGTTGACTTTACTTAAGCATCTTTCGTTTTTACAAATAATTATCGTATACTAGCTATTGCCATGACTTCTATGAAGTGGATATTTTAATTTGAGTAAACTAATCTATGTGTTCCCTGTAATTAATACACGTTTGCCATGTCAATCCTATATGCTAATCTGGGCTATATTTTCCGGGATAATCCTGTGTGCTATTCCAGATTACAATCTATCTTAGTTCAACTGTTCATCCAGATTTGTTCAGTGATTTCAACTGATTGAGTGACAGACAAACATTTAAACATAAAACTTTGCATGTTTAGCTATATATATTATTGTAAAGGTCTTTATTCCACTGCATTCATAATATAAATACATTAAAGTATGATAACATTGTCAATTATCTATGGTATTGTTATAAATATTTTATTGCTTATCGGATGATTTCTAGGATTGTTAACATTACGTACCTAACTATTTGTCGAGGTAAGGATTCATAGTGATCACAGTTCATAGCCATAGGCTTCTGATTCAATATTTTTTCCCAAAAATGTAATCTCACACTAGGAACTCCTTTATTTGATTTGTTTAAATGGTCTACTTTAAATAAATATCATTATTTCGCAGGTTGATAGTTTAAGTTCTACGTTACTACGAATAAATATTGACAATACAATATGCAAAATTCCTAGTTGTTTTCTATACTATCTGCTTATCTACAAGAAAACAACAGAAATTTCAGATCCGGATTCAATATATCAAAAACAATTCGCTACATACAAATATAAGAATAGCACACACAACACAGCGACACCATAAAACCCAAACATCTGCAAGAATATAAAAACCACATTCAATTTTTTCCTTTACACCACACAGCATAAAAGTAAACGAACATAAAATACGATGCACATGCTGTCAGCCACATTGTGTATGGGAACCAACTCGAGAATTATTCCTCAATCGGTACGAAAATGAATAACTTAAGACTTCCCTCATCAAATATGGATTCCCGTTTTTCTCCACTCGCCTGACATCGATTCGATGCCTTTTTCACTGTGGCCAACTTATAAAACTTCCTTATTGGTTATCCGTTGTTTACATTAAAAAGGGAATATGAAAGGTTCCTTTCAACTGATTTGATTGGGGTCATATGTAAACATTTTGGTTTTAGGGACCTATAGATTAAAACAAAATGGGTTTCTCGTAAACTCGTCATATTCACATTTGATTGAGGTCTATGATTGAACTACGTGTTACATGATTCGGTACAAGGTTGTTTTTAATATTTATTCACTTTACCTGCTTATTTGATGACCGTTTATTAAATTCCGGTTATATCAATAGCAATGGTAATGGAAATTGACTTAATTGTTGTCAAACAAATTAAGACTAAAGATGTTAACGTAATGACGTTAATAGAAACAAGAATAAAGCAAATAAAACTTCTTTGAAAACGCCACAGTTGGTTTAAGATTTACGAAACCAATAAGACTGCAAATTCCACACTGATATTTACATAATCCTTCAGAAGTACAGCGAAAAGGGACAAAAGGACTACCTACGGTAGACTTTCTAAAAAAATCAGTTTACGAAAATCACCGGACTGCCACGTTATCCCCGAACAAGTAACTATAAAAAATATAAGCTCAATACAGACAGACACCAAATACCCGAATTAATCCGATATTTTTCGAAAGTCTGTAGGTTTATTTGTAAAGACGTGGTCGTATTGGGCCCCAGCAATTCGGACGCGGCCCGAAAGTGGCCCCCGCGTATGAAAACAAACGGCCACTACGTGTTTTGCTTACTTGTAAGGATGTAAGAAAATTATCCCCGGGGTGATAAATTGATGTGGTATTTGATTGTGTTGATTGTCTATTTCTGTCTGTTACATTTATGAGTACTACTTAGGTGTTGCCATTGTATTTTTTTCGTTTAACTGCTTAACCAAACTTGAATGTGAACCAATACCTGCTTTGGAGATTTATTATAACTTTTCAATCTCAGAATTCTCATTTTTGACACGAGGTCTCAATCTGATCTACCAGTTCGACTAGCGCTTAGAAGTCAATGCATCCCGAAGCAATAAAGCCTTGAGAATTCTAAAAATCATATATTTCCATAATTGTATTTTAAAGTTTCAAAAAAATATCCTTTCTCTCATTCTACGACAAAAACTCGAAATACCATATCCATTGTTCCTTCAGTAATCTAAAGCTCGTTCACAAGTAAGTAAGCACCGTTGATCTGACGCAAAGCCAGCTTGTTTAGACCATTGCATGTGTAACTAGCTTTATACCCCTCATCCCGTATTCAAGTAACACGCAGAACATTCTCGAAGAAATAGACAGTAGTCATGGAACAAGAAAAAAGGTATGGAGTCGTTTATATTTCTAATCTCTAAAGGATAACATTGGTTTTGAAAACTTTTTGTACTATTTCTCTCTTACAAATATTAGATTTGTTTGGTGCTACGTTTTTTCGTGTATTTTGATTAAAATAACATAACATCTCACGCCTTTTTATCTCCGAATCCTTAATGCCAGTGTACAATGTAACACCCAGGGGTGAGCTTATTACCATAAACCGGGCACAATTCTAGACTTCGTGCTACTACTGAGGTTTTAGTAATACTTTGCCCGACCCGGGAACCGAACCCGAGACCCTTTGCCTGGCAGTCGCACTTGAGACCACTCGGCCAACGAGGCAGTCATTAAAAAAATACGTAAGCTACTTGTTCAATATTGTATGTCTTAGTCTATAGGGTAGGATAAAAGAATAGATCCAACTGAATCCAACGATGGAAACAATTCAATGCAAATCGTTCGACGATTCTTAGCAAAACTCATTTTATTGATCTATACAAATAAAAATGCATTTCCGTTCGTTAGTCTCGCTAAAACTCATGAACGGCTGAACCGATTTGGCTAATTTTGGTCTTGAAATGTTCGTGGCAGTTCAGGGAAGGTTTAAACGGTAAGAAAAAAAATGTAGGCGGTACGAAGTACGCCGATCAGCTAGGTTATTAATATTAATTAAGTCTTAAACTTTATATTTAAACTAAGAACTTAGCCAAAAGAAGAATAAACGTCAGTAGTAAAACTCTTATAGCTAATAGATTAACGTAATAAACTAACTGGAACCACGCTTGATGTGCACTAAACTTCAAACTTACTTTCAAATTGGAGCTAATAAAACGTGTGCACCTTAAACCCGCTGCTATAAAGGTGATAATTGCATATCAAATTAAACAGTTAAACACAGGATGCGAACAAAATAGTAGTTCTCAACTCGTGGTCCATGTGCCACTAGCGGTCCACAGAAGACAACATATAGACGGCGAATTAAAAAAAATACACAAGTCTAGGCTGTAGTCCAACAAATACCACAGTTAAATCTCGAATTACACTTATGCCAAAGGAAAGAACTAAGAGAAGCCACTTATTTCAATAATATATCTAAAAATCATAATTTTAAAGTGTGAATGAAAAAATCGTAGTGAAAGATCACACAAAACAGAAATAGTAAAAGCAGTTCCTAACCTAACAAGAGTTATAAAAATGGTCCTTGACCAGGAAAAGGTTGAGAAACTCTGAGCTAAAACAATGATGCCGTAACTTCAGCTTCAGGAGATCAGAATAAGTTTTTTCTAATTAGAATTCGATGAATTGGCCCTTTCCCGAGCTCGGCTCGTCTCCCGATCGAGTGCCGAAGTAATTAGTGACTCCGTTTGCTAATGAAATTCTGAGGACGAATGCGACCATTCTTTCTCCTTTTACATATTCGTGTGCGATGAGATTTTCTGATAGTTTATTTTTACAACTTTCTTTGTCTCGGTTTAGAAGAGAGGGATTTATTTCGTTGTTTCTAGAACAAGATTTTTCTTTTCAAAATTTGCTATTACAACACGGAGTCTGGAGTGCTTAAGTATGATATTCGCTCCAAATACCTACATGACAATCATAACTTCTTGCATTATCTACTACTACCCCTTCTAGAAAAAAAGGCGTGATACTACATTAAGAACACAATATGGCGAGTATAATAATTTACGCGACATATAACAATATAATGTTAGTTCAATAACAAGTATAATAGGACAGTTATAGGCTGTTATTGGATATTTATCTGTGTCGAATGGGGTAAGAATACTAATGTCATTTCGCGCATGCGGCCTATGTAGGAATCAGTAGCGTAGTTTTGAAACTGGAGAAGTATAAACTAATAAATAGACTTAGATTTATTTTTAATGTTATCGTATTGTTTAATTTATTTAGTGCCAGTCCATCTTAAGACAACCTAACATTAGAACTGTAAATCTGAAGTTGAAATTGGAAAACGTACTCGAGAAAACAATAACTTCCTTGTATTGTCATTAATGTATTGTTCTTAGCAAAATTAACGTCATCACTAAAAAAGTAGGACTAGCAAAATGAAATAACGAGTCTCAAACAAAGTTACACGGGCTTAATATATTAAAGAAATTATTTCAACCTTTTATTTTAACAACCCGTAACCTCGCTTACACATAGCATGTAAGCGAAACCGGGGGCCTTGGCTTAGCCGCCCGGGCCAAGAGGTAGACAGCCTCCATAAAAACTTACCCCAATCCTAAGGTGGGAGACGCGCCAATAGGATGAATGGCTGATGGGTGTTCAGTCGCGAGCGCCAACCTCAATGGATCTGGCTCACATTGTTGTATTTGCGCCTTCATTTGGGAATGGGCGTCACCCCATTTGTGACCTGTTTAATCGACCCTACTCGTGGGAACACTATGGAAAATAAAGAAAAAACAAACACTGAACCTGGAAATAAAATACTAACCCAACAAATTTTTCACAAATCCTTCTTCAATAAAACAAGAACTCAGTCACTCAATAATCTAGACAATCTCGCAACACCAAATATAGATGTAGAACCTGAAATACCCAGAGAAGAAACTAACCAATGGACAAAAGTACC